TGCATAACTTAGCATTGCAAAGTTAAGAGACCACAAACAAAGGTCAAGTAAAGGAACAATTTATACAGTACAGATGACCACAGCCTAAATTAACCCAAAACCGAACCTCAGCCTCACCATACACTAGAAAAGTTACAAGTATACACCACTTATCTCCATATAAATATATCCTAAGTCCAGACCAATTGTACCACACTTGCACGACACACCATCACCAGCCACGCTAGTCTCACCTCCCTGCACTTGCCGTGACCCCACAATGTGGATACCATGCCGCCAATATACTATTTTACCTAACAAATGCACAACGTTAAGCTGATTTACTTACATTTAGAATAAATTAATATATATAACATAGTAGACAATGTTTACATACAGGAACATATATAAATATAGTCCTACCTACTAAAGAAGCAGTGTAATTACTCCTCTCAATCAAATATTTCTTCAGTGCCTTATAAAACCCTCCCCAAAGATAAAACACTTGTGATTTATTTTCAGTTTGGTGAATGAGATAGAGCATTTGCTACGAAATTCTCTCACTCCTACACAACATACCAAGTCCATCCATCACCCTACACACACCAAGTCCATCCATCACTCCTACACAACATACCAAGTCCATCCCCACTCCTACACAATACAACAAGTTCATCCCCACTCCCACACAACATACCAAGTCCATCCCTCACTCCCACACAACATACCAAGTCCATCCATCACCCTACACAACATACCAAGTCCATCCCCCACCCCACACATATACCAAGTCCATCCACCCCACACAACATACCAAGCCATCCCCACTCCCACACAACATACCAAGTCCATCCCTCACCCACACAACATACCAAGTCCATCCCCACTCCCCACACAACATACCAAGTCCTTCCCTAACCCCACACAATACTACAAGTCCATCCCTCACTCATACACAGCATACCAAGTCCATCCATCACTCCTACACATACTGTAAGTCCATCCCCACCCACACACAATACTACAAGTCCATCCCTAACTCACACAATACTACAAGACCTTCCCCCTCCTACACAACATACCGAGTCCTTCCCTCACTCCTACACACACTACAAAGTTCTTCCATCACTTCTACACACACTATAAGTCCTTCCCTCACCCCTACACACACCATAAGTCCTTCCTTCACTAGTACACAACATACCAAGTCCATCCCTTAACTCCACACACTAGTCCTTCCGTCACTCCCACACAACACTACAAGTCCTACCCCTCCCCACAATACTCACATGTCCTTCCCCCACTGTACAGAAAACCACAAGTCCTTCCCCTGACTCCTACACAATACTCAAGTCCTTCCCCACTCCTACACAACATACCAAGTCCATCCCTTAACCCTACACAACATACCAAGTCCTTCTCACTCCTACACAACATACCAAGTCCTTCCCCCTCACCTACACAACATACCAAGTCCTTCCTCACTCCTACACAACATATCAAGTCCTTCCCCACTCCACACACAACATACCAAGTCCTTCCCTCACCCTACACAACATACCAAGTCCTTCCCTCACCCTACACAACATACCGTCCATCCCTCACCCACACAACATATCAAGTCCTTCCCCACTCCTACACAACATACCAAGTCCTTCCTCACCCCACACAACATACCAAGTCCTTCCCCCCCCCACCCTACACACACATACCAAGTCCTTCCTCACTCCCACACAACATACCAAGTCCTTCCCCCACTCCTACACAACATATCAAGTCCTTCTCTAATTCCCACACAACATACCAAGTCCTTCACCCTACACAACATACCGTCCTTCTTCTCTTATTTTTCCTCGTCAGTGTACAACAGTTTACATTACCCATCATCATCTCTGACGTTTGCCTCGAGCTGCTGGAGGCTGCCCACCATCCGTGCCTCCACACTCGCCTATTTTATTTTTCTAAGTCGAGCATTTTCACCTATATGAAGGCTCCAATTCATGATATAAGTGTTAACAAATTATGTTTGATGAATATTGTTCACTTCTTTGATAACTGCCCTGTTCACACGGCACGAGAGATGAAGCAGTGGTCAGAGGAAAGGTCGAATGAAATTGACCTTTTGGACTGGCCATCTAAATCTCCAGGTCCATATTCAGTAAGTTTCTTTCATTTAAACAATACAACTTTTCCTTTACCCAATTGAATAATAATGTTGCATTTTTATTGAAACATTTAATATCACAAATATAATATTGTATAGGGCCATTGCTTGTGTTAAGAGATTACTATGACTGAGTGCTACCCAGCTCTCGAGGCTGGCTTGAGGTTAACGGCTGACTAGCTGAAGTGAACGGCTGGCTGGCTTAGGTGAATGGCTAGCTGGTTGAGGTGAATGGCTGGCTGGGCTGAGGCAAATATCTGGCTGGCCAAGAACCCCACCAAACAGATCCTCAATGCCAGACAGGCTGTATATCGTCATTGGCAAGTACTGGGCAAGAACTGACTCCCTATAAAAGACTCAATATATAAGTAGTTGTTGGCAACTTCTAAATTTTAACAGTATACTTTTTAATGATATGTATCGTAGTAAGCATTACAGACAGTACCATATATTGCCTGTTCATCACTCAGTAATAGGTATAAAACGTTTCTTAAAATACTTCAAACGTTTTAGTTATGCTCCTAAAATAAATCTCACACTTGCCCAAATATGGCTTAATGTTAAGTTCAACGAGCGGACGAAGTGCCATTGTTAGTGCGTGTGTGTCGAGCTAAGATCACAGGAAACACCAGATAGTTGAAAGGGAATGAGTCGTTCTTTATCTTAACACTGAACGGTGACCTTTCCATGTAAACAGTGCTCGAACTGCGGTGGATAGCTTCCTCCCTGATAATTCAAAAATCAAATTATCTTTGTTTTTGTTTTAATAAATAGTAATGCTTTTAGATCAACCTCACGTCACTATAATGTAGCAATCCAATGTGGTGTTCCAAGAGAAAGTGATCTTAGAATACTTTCGTTTCCATTATACTGGTATTTCTCTATGGAATTATTTATCATTTTTACTTAAATGATATCAAACTAAATATGTTTTTAAAAGGCCACCTAACTTATAAAAAAAAGTCCTAAAACTATAAAACGCTTAACTTATTCGTGTTTTCGGCGTCTAGTATGTGATGGATTTTTCGGTGTTCAGCTTAGGAGAAGGGGGGGGGGGCATAAATTCGAAAGTGATTTTAAAAATTTATAGGTTAGGGAAGGTTTTTCGGAGTTTTGTTTGGTGTTTTTAGTTATTTACCCATTTTCTCGCTGCTTCAAAGCCCGGCCGTGTTGCCCACTTTTAATATTACTACTTTCCACAGAGGTACACGTGGTGAAGCAAACAAGCAAGTATCAAAATAACCGTAACTATAACCATTTAAGACAACAAATACGGAGTAAATTTATAAAGAAGAGTTAAGGTGAAGCTTAATAACATATGGCAGTAAACCAGTTGAGAGTAGAGGATATAAATATGGAGCCCGGGGAGTGACCACAGGGAAGACTATAGTCACCTGAGACAATACCCTCAGGTCTAGAGCAATGGCTGAGGTTACCTTACCTGATACACTATATGGCAGAGATAATTAGCAGTAAATAAAGTCCTGAGCGGGAAGAGTAATCCATGTAGGCGAGTCTCTCAGAGCGTGAGTGCGGGACGTATTATTACTGTACATGGGGCAACACAGAATTCTCATTGGCTATAAGCTCAGGAAAGATGATGATTGGTCAACTGTAGTTCACTAGAGTGACACGAAATGTTCCGACCCGTTCTCTTGAACATTGAATCATTTGGATACGTTAAGTCAGACCAGCCACTGTTGTCGATACAAATAACAACCTGTACAGTAGTTTATTAACCTGACACAAACAATAAATAACAATACACAAAATTAATATTAAATAACATGAATATAAATAAGAATATGATCTAAACATAGAAAAATGTTACAGTATGTAATGAAAATAAGGAATTCTAAAAAAGGTGAACAATCATAATATTATAGTTTATGTAATGAAGGCGGAAAATTCCGACCAGAACTCTCTATAAACACCAACTGCCATATCTCATCAGATGACTTGTTCAGTGAAGTCTTGACAAACTTACCTGAGGATTGACAGTGTTTAACCCTAAGCTGCAGCATGGTGAAGTATACTGAAGTAGTCATTTTACTTCTCAGTCAGGATACGATTGAGTGGAGATTGATATGTTGTGTGGAAATAGATTGAACAGTTATAGAGGTGAGAGATGACTCGGTGTCATAAGAACATAAGAAAATAAGGAGTCTGCAATAGGCCGGTTGGCCTGTGCATGGCAGCTCCTGTCGAGAGTTACTACCACTCTCTATCATCCATGAATCTATCTAGCCTCCTTTTGAAACTTTCCAGAGTTCCCGCACTTACTACAAAGTTGCTAAGCTTGTTCCACTCGTCCACCACCCTATTTGTGAACCAGTTTCTTCCCATCTCCCTCCTAAACCTAAACTTATCCAACTTAAATCCGTTGCTCCGAGTGACACTGTTGTACTACTGCAGGATTCAGTGATCCGCTCGGGTTGATTCGAAGGTTTCGTCCGGAGTCAGACCTTTGGCCATAAAAATAGACGAAGAAAACCCAACCCACACTCACTACTGTCTCTGATGTTATTTTTTGTTTTTTTTACAATAAGGGCGTCGTAAAGGAAAGTATCAGAATAATGTGTACATCTTTATTCAATTCAAATAACGAGGATCTTTTCCGTTTCATGCACCGTGTCCCAAAAATAAGAACAAATATCTTTTTGAATATAGATTTTTCTGCTGATACCAAAAATATTGATTTTAACCTAACTTAACCTAACCTAACCAACTGTGATATGAATGACTCATATCTACAAGTTATTTATTTATTTGGAATCAGAATTATTTGGTATCTTGGCGTGACGTGAGGGAAGCTAGCAGGCGTCGCGGCGTAACAAACACAATTCAGTCACTGCAGAGCGACGGAGTGGTGTGGGTACCTCTCCTGTCAGGCTCCAGGGTACCGTTTGTTTTGGAACCCGAGTCTGTTGAAGATTTTTTAAACCTTCATTGGTCATCACAAGCATACACCGGTAGCTGCCGTCAACAAAAGTTGGTGAAATATACAGAGCTTTCCTTAACCTGGGGAGTCAGGTTGGTTGATTACGTTTTCTTTATCGAGGTTTCGGGTCGTCGTTTTGTCACGACTAGAGGTAAAGTTTTACTTTCAGGCTCGGGAACCTTAGAAATTGTAACCTTGCAATAAACAGGTTGGGTGGATATATGAGCGATAGGGGTTGGGTGTAAACGGGACTGCCCAGTATGGGCCAATAGGCCCGCTGCAGTTTCCTCCATTCTTATGTTCTTATATTAGCATGGCTCGTCCTTACAGGGCGACATGGATGTCAGGTCAATTTCTGCTGGGTACTGGCACTTAAGGGCCGCTGCTTCCCTGCACCCTGCCAGCACAAGATCAATATCAATATCACTGCTGGGAATGCCACTGTTGGCCCCAACAAGCTGTGATACATTTCGATAATTATAATTTCCTGGACGTATCCCCAAATGCTTTGTAGGTGGGAGACAGCCCCGTTGTCCACGCTCGGTGACCAAAGGCCACTTTATGGACTGGGAGCCCCACCAGTATACAGTGACTTGCCTGGGTTTGTAACTCGTCTATCGTAGTTGTTGATTCATTCCCAAGGCGTGTAGGTATTATTATTTAGTGTGGAGGATGGCCTCTCGACACATCCTTACGCGTTATTATTCATTACGGGTATTTTTAATGTAATAATCGTGTATCATTATGTATCTTGCAGCCACATGAAATTTTCTTAAATAACAAACATATCACCTGAAGGAAAAACACCCCAGATTATATAACCAGATCATTAACCACACTAATGCTAACCTGATCTTACCTACACTTACTTGACTTAACCCCCCCCCCCTCCTCCTTAGGTAACATTAGGGTGATTAATCTTCAGGTGAAATAAGTTGGGATGTCTAATTTTCAGGTTATCTCAAACAACTTAGTATTAAATGTCTTATACGGTTGTGTACTGAATACGCCTTTAATTTGTTCTCACCTTAACACTATCTGCAGGTACAGTCTCCATACTGAACACTTCTGGTTCTTGGGTCTCGGTTGTTGATGGGGTTAATTAGATCTCTTGGTACGTTCTGGACACGGTAGAACATAATTAAAATTACTTTTTCATTTTAATTTTTAGTAACGAGTCAAAATGGAGGCAAGTCGGAGGGTGGGAGGCAAGTCGGAGGGTGGGAGGCAAGTCGGAGAGTGGGAGGCAAGTCGGAGAGTGGGAGGCAAGTCGGAGGTGGGGTGATATGTCGGAGGGACAGATTCGCTGTTAGAAATATTCTCTCTAAGAATAGATATGAAAAGCTACAATATTCTTAATTAAAAGAACTCGTCCTCAGTCTGACGGTAGATAACTCGGGCCGGGACAGATAGAAAAGTTATTTTGTCTCAGGTTTGATATGTAGGTGCCGGAAACTAAGGTCTTATCCGGGTGACACTTCCTGTTGTGTAGGAAAATGATATTAATTTACATGCTGACTTTACCAATGATTTGGTGAAGTTATGCACACGCTAGGTACTACAAAAGGGAGGTAGCGGTTCCATAACATTGCTCACAAGACATATGCTCACAAGACATATGCTCACAAGATATATGCTCGCAAGACATATGCTCGCAAGACATATGCTCATAAGACAAGTGAAGGTGTAGCAAATGACAATTTCTTGAACACGATAGCCATTTTGTGGAGCCTGGAGGTGCATAACGTGTTCCTTCAGCACGGTGTTGAAGGTTAGATATCGTCTGTCACCAACTGAACAATATACTCTATAGTTTGATCTAAGCTGCAGCACTAGACAGGAGTTATGATTTTGTTAATGTTAGCAACAATACAAAAAGGATTATAAACACATAACCCCAAAAGGTCAACATTGATTTTTATATTACTTAGTTCGGGTTTTTCGAGTATTTTCTTAGGTATGAATGGTAAAGGTTTATTTAACTAACTTTAACGGTTTAGTTTTTTCCTCATTTGCAATTTTATGACATCGCTATACTGAAGATAGTTTGAAATGAGGGACGTGTGTGTACGTTGTTGTCTTAGCTTCCTTAACTCTTTACCAAATAATACATTGCATCCTGTATTAATAACCTGTTTAATAATTGTGATCTTCCTTTCATGAAATTTTTACCTTTCAGGACGAGTAGTGTGGGTGACGTTGATCCTGGGTCCTGTTACTATACTGCTAGACGAGGAATACCTGGGTCCATTGTCTACCAGAGATGACTAACTTGACGTCGATCCTGTCTCTGCTTCTGCTGGTGGTCAGGTGTGTGTGTGTGTGTGTGTTATTAACCTTTACTGGATGGCAGGTGATGTTGAATTTTGCCCTAATTCTCCGTAATACCACAAGGGTGATTTTATACTACTCTAAATGTTCTAGACACCACATGAGTAACCCAACTCAACTGTACCTGTAGATTACCACCAGTGACAATAATCAGTCAGGATTATATAGTCTAAAATTATACCCAGACAATAATAACAAGATTACGTAAATTTAACTTGAGACTGTTGTGTTTTTCCTGGATCGTCGGCTGAAGATGTTTCACTCCAATACAGCTTCAATATGACTGGTTCGTGGTCAATCTTCTATGTATTATGCACAGAATAAATAAACTACTGTGGATATAGAATTGGTTGTTTGAAGGCTTTGTGTAGTATAAAATGAATGATTGTAGTCGATGCGTCTGCTAGTTTTGGTGTTGTGCAACTCTCACTACAAGGTGTCATGGCGTCTTCCTTGACCGCTTCACATGCGTTCAATACTTAAACATAATATGGCTTTCTCCTAAATAACAGATGTATAATTATTTATATTTGGTAATTAAACTATTTCACTGAGGTAATCTTCTATTAACTTTTGGTAAGTAAACAAACCTTAGACTAGGCGATAGCTTTTCCCACATCACATCACTTAATAATATATAACTTTGTATGAAAAACGTTTACAAATCTATTTTACTTAATTCTATTCACATTTATCTTTAAACTTATCATGTTACTTTTCGCGACTTGTTTATTTGTTTAAACATTACAACATCACAAAAATGTCTCAGGATAAGTTGGAAAGTAATATTTGAATGGATGAAATAATGAAAACAAAACCATATTGAAGGGTCTTGTGGAAATTACTGTAGATTATTATTTTTTCAATCTTCATACCAGGACGGTGGAGCCAGCACAGAGCCAACTTCTTCGTGTCCTTGAGTTACCACCGAGCCCTCAATGGAGCTACGATGATGTCAAGTCGTGGAGCAAGGTGGCGCCACAGTGTTTAGGAAGCAAGCAGTCCCCCGTCGACTTCACCAAGGTCAAGGAGTTCACACCAGCTCCTTTTGTCTTCACTAATTACGGCGTGAGTAAACAGGGAGGGAGAGGTAGTCGAATAATCTCGTGCATTAATCTTTCTTCTTCTTGACCAAGTCTCCGAGGTAGTTTAATGCATCATATCTCACTAGAAAGCTCAGTTTATACATTTTATTTGCCTGGCGTTTTCTCGATGGAAATTAGCTATTTAAACCTTTTGGGGCTATTATTATCCGAATGACCTACTGTTTACCTAGCTTGTATCCCAACAAGGCCTGCGCTGTCTGTGTTCATGATGAGTTAAAGCAAACTTGTAAGGTTATTTTACTGAGTAATTATATATATACAGTATATCTCAGGTTCTTCCTAACTACATTACGTTGCTAGTGTTGCCTAGACTGAACAAAATACTAAGCAAATACTTTTTGACAACTCTCAAACAAATGTAGAGGAATTTAGTATCTGCCAGGCCACAAGACGGGATATTCAGAATAGCAAGTTAAATGGTGAGGTAGACACAAGGAAGATGTTATTGAGTAAAGTGGATGTTGATAATGAGTAAATCGAGGATACCTGGAGGAAACACGACCATCGATTACTGAATGAGGAGTATGAATGGGATAGGAGCCGTCTAGGGTTGCAGAGCCAGTTCAGGGGCTAAACCAAGGATTGAAAGAGAATGGGTGATGCAAATAATTGACAAAATGAAGAATCTAAAGGCGGCTGGGAGCTCTGGGGGTAGTTGCAGAGATGTTGAAGCGTTAGACAAGGCAGGCGTCTCGATGGTGACCGAATGGACTAATGCAACCATGATGAAATTTATTGTTCTAGGCGACTGGCAGAAAGTGTGATTGTGAATATTTACAAGATTAATGGTGATGCACTTGAATGTGAGAACTACAGAGGCCTGAAGCTTATAGATCTGATTTTGAAAGTTGTGGAAAGTTAACGAAACAGTGGTGAGACTTTGTTGCATTTATCTAAGAATATAATTACTTCTATCTATACCTGGTGAAATTATTCCTATATTATTTTTCTTACCAGGCTCCAGTAAAGTAGTGTACGAGGTGGAAAAGACAGCAACAGTATTCTTATATCCGTATTAATCTTGTCGCCTGGTGATGAGTGGCAAGTTTTATTAACATGGTTGACTCGTGTAAGTTGCAAAAGCTCCAGCAAATTAAGTTCACTATTTTTCACGTTTTCTTTGTACCAGCTCTGATTACAGTACAGTAGTCAGGTGTGCGCTCTTGTTTGACGGTGTCCCTTTGTTACTGATATAAAAAACGTGGTTAAAAGATCGTCATAACTGAGCTGTAATGTATGGCAAACTAAACTAAAAACTTGCTTTACTTTATTCCACATAGATATATAGATATTAAGTAAAATCATTATATAAGTTTACAATTGGTTAAGCATTATATACAGTAGACAATGCCGGTATACATTACATCATGCACATAGACAACGCAGGTGTATTGTGTACATACTGTAGGCCGTGGAGGTACACATCCAATGTACTATACAATACAATACCCGAGTCCTAGACAGTGCTGGTATGGAAACAGTGGTAAACAGTAACGTGTATCAGCCAACATAATACTTATTGGTGTTTTTGTCACACTATCACACAGGCTGTTGTACCGGGTGAAATTAATCTGATATTCATATATTTTTTTTTTTCATGAAGCTGATCGACACGATGCTGGAGAACAACGGCCACTCACTGAACGTGAAGTTGTTTCCTGACCCGAGCAACAGACCAGCGGTGTCTGGGGGAGGGCTGCCGGGGACTTACCTGCTTGATGCATTCCACTTCCACTGGGGAACAACGCGTGACAAGGGTTCAGAACATCTGCTGCATGGATGCTCCTTTTCTGGGGAGATGCACTTTGTTCACGTTAAGGAGGAGTAAGTATCTTCAGTGTTTATTGAATAGCGGAAATATTGTATGTTAAATTTTGTTGGTGTTTGTCTAAAGAACAGTAACTTGTTTAAGGTAATATCAGTTAAGAGTTACTAATGTAATACTGAACACAACAGCCCCTATGCTGTTGTGTTTCTCCGGTTTCTTCAAGTATAATGGAGTTTACGTGGCTCTCTGAACACACCACTAAGGAACACCCCCACACACACACACACACACACACACGGATGAACATTGGGTAGAAAGTTGACTGTTTATTTTGGGTTACTGATGTAGATTCAGGAGGGGTGTTCCAAGAGTTGTATATTTCTTATACCTGACCATCTGATTAAATCGTCAACAATTAGGATGGGTTGTTTTACCGAGGATGTTTTTAAGCTTGTCTTGTTTGTTCAATAGAAGTATTAGAAGGAAGTGGTAAGTACTGTAATAATGTACAAAGAGTCACAGTCGTTAACACTACACGACCCATTCTCTGCTTTAGGTATGGGACTGTACAGGAAGCTCTCAAGCATCCAGATGGGTTGGCAGTGATCGGGGTCTGGCTGGAAGAGTCCCGCTTTGAACCTGAAGTGTCCTCGTTCTCTCAGGACCTGATTTCACAGTAAGTTTGGGGAACAATAGAGGGCGGGGATAAAAAAAATGAGTCTACTTCAATGAACATTACTCTAACTTATTGTGAATAAATGGAAGGAAACGGATAAATTATAAACAGAATGGATAACATGGTATAAAAATCTTGGTATTAAGCTCCACAAGACTTGTTACTTTTGAAGAGATTATCTATAATTAATACCCGACTTTGGAGTAGCGATCAGCTCCTAGCCATCTGTCCCGGGATTGGAATTCAGGACATGGTTGTGACAGCCAACCCAGATAATCTTTTGTAGGAATCAAGAAACGTTGCATCCAAAACAGGTTCCGAAAACTGCTGAAAATGTGTAAATTCTCTCCATCAGAGGTGACTGCTACTTCCGACCGGTGGGGCATGGAACGAACCCCAGATGTAATTACACCCCACAAGACCACCAAACTGCCACCCAGCACTGGTTCACGTATCTTGCACGTATGACAACCCTACCTGATGACACCGTGACACCCATCAACCTCCGCCAACTACTGCCATTCGACCCATCCATCTTCTACAGGTACATGGGTGGTGTTAACAGGTCCTCTTCTGCTCACTAACATAACTGGTCGTATAATATAGTACAGCTGCTATATCCTCTCACATTACCTCCTCTCTAGTATATATATATATTCACCAATATAGCCCAGAGATATATTGTATTAAATCATTTGACACACTTAGAGAGTAATAATTATGGTCTTCAGTATTGTCTGCCTCGAGTATTGTATATTAGTCTGGCTATAAACAGATGGTCACAAGTCACTGTACGTGTATAGAGTTCAAGACCAACTTCCACGAAACAAAATATAACTTCGATTTGTATTGATAATTATCGATGTTTTATCAATGGATCTTATTGTGGTTTAACCTTGGGCTTTGAGAGTCAAGTTAGGTCACTTATCATCGTGGGTTTATCATCGTGGGTTTATCTTAAAGACATGGATAACTTCAGGAGAGAAATTTATCTCCTGAACCTACCACACAATTATTACACTCAGACATATTCTTAGCTTTGGTTACAAGTTTGAATCATAATAAAAATTTCATTAATTCTATAGGAGTTTTATAGGTATTTTCAGAACAACTCAAAAGGATATAGTTTATTCCTTGGCAAGATAAATAAAGGGTGTGTTAGGTTCTCTCATAACTGGTATTCTGTTCTGCTTCAACCCACATCCTGGCCTCCCATGCACCCCACGGCCTTCCATGCACCCGACGGCCTTCCATGCACCCCACGGCCTCCCATGCACCCCACGGCCTCCCATGCACCCCACAGCCTCCCATGCACCCCACGGCCTCCCATGCACCCCACAGCCTCCCATGCACCCCACGGCCTCCCATGCACCCTACGGCCTCCCATGCACCCCACTTGGTATTGACTTTATCTGCAGGTACAATGGGTCGCTGACCACACCACCCTGCACAGAGAACGTCATGTGGACGGTGTTCAGGCGACCCTTGCTGGTGTCTCCCTTCTTCTTCAGCTCCCTTAGACAACTGCCAGCCAAGAACCACAACAAAGAGAAACTTGGGCATCCCACCAACACCATCGGAGCTGAGTATCACATGGTGGACTACGAGGACCACCTGCTTTCTGGACATAAGTACATCACCAACAACTTCCGTCCTGTACAGCCCTTGGGAGATAGGGAAGTTTTGTTCAGGTGAGTGAAGGTCCCCCAACAGGTGAACTACAAGAATCTATAGGTTTATTTAGGTGAGCCAATATCCTGTAAAAGGTATATTCAGGTGCACTAATTATCGACAAGGTGAGATCTCATGCAGGGTAGGATTCATATACTGTTTACCATTTTTTCTATTGAATGTAAACAAATATTCTTGTTTACTAAGGGAGGATGTTTACCTGCCTCTCACAGACAAGTAAATTATTAGAAAGGGAATCAGAGGTAAAGAGTTAACCTGAGATTAAATTATTTTGCTAATGACTTATTTGTGATATTTTTTTATCTGTGGTCTAAAGTGACTTCAGTACTTGAATCAGCATAAGCTTATCATGTTGTGTTCCCTCAGTTACGGCCAGAAGGAAGGAAACAAAATCGTATGTGTGTAGTGAGACTTCATGTGGCTAGACAGGTAACTAATACAGTATTCTTTTATTTTGTATTAGATTCATATTATTGAACTTGACGTTACCTTTATTCACCTGTAAATGGCTCACTTTCTCTCCCAATATCATAAATCATTTAGCATTATTTACCTCTAATTAATACGTGACTTAATGCGTGTTGTCCCTTGGTCATACTTAATATCTTGACAGAATTCTCAACCTGGTGGAGGTGGCCTGGGAGTGCGTTGGGCTCAAGAGATAAGCTTCGTGATGAAGTTGACAGACTCAAGATCAGGGCCAGGTATTGTCTACTCCCAGAGGTTGACAATTGCTGTTTTTTGGTAATTTTTGTATAGATATTTCAGCAGGTTTTCTTACGGTTTTTATTGCAAGTTCTCACTTAGATACTGCATAGTCACACACACACACACACACACACACACACACACACACACAGGTCCTATTCGTAGAGATGCCTTGCACACACACACACACACACACACACACAGTCAAGTACACTCCTCTGTCATACATGTACACCTAGAGACGGTACAGTTTGTTATTTATTGATGGTAAAATATTTATGGTAGACAGTAGACAGGTTAAGATGAGGTTGTGACAGAGGCATCAGGATCACACTCGCAGATTTAACACATACAACATACTAAGAGACAGTCTGTGTGTATCAGTGTTAACATTAACTCTCAAGCTGACTGTATCCTTGTTATTAAAATTTAAGCTTATGTATTAAAAGGAAAGGGAAGAGGTTTGTGACCGCCACCCGAGTCGACATCACATTTGAGAGTTATGTGGCACCAAACCGTTTTTTTTACATGGTAGAATGTGACTAGTGACTGAGCCTTATACAAATACAGTAACTTGTATTCCTGTATTCCCAGCCTTGTTAAGAAAGGGGGAAGGAGGAGAGGAGGAGTTAAATTTGACTGATATTACAAATTTAAGACATTTGCTGTAACCCAGATTATGAATACAAAGTGAGAATAAAATTTGAAGTTTCTTGTTGTGTTTACCTAATGCCATTTGATTTTGTGAAAGATAACATGCATACAGTATTTAAGGTTTAGACTGCACAAGAAGGGACCAACTCATCGACTATGGGTTTCCAAGGTGTGATTTAGGGTTTGTGTGTTATTCTGAAAGTACATAATTAGTTAAATCCCTTAAAATTCAATTCCGAGAAAAAAGTATAATTTGGTCAAAAATTTTGTAAGGTGTAAAGTCTTACAGTTTTGGTGGTTTTGGGCCAAAAATTAGATTTTGCTGAAAATCACAGTATGGGTAATACCTTGCTCTTGGATCCCTGGATGTAAGGCAACCCAGAGGCCACATAAAGGAATCAGGGGGCCACATGAAGGAATCAGGGGGCCACATGAAGGAATCAGGGGGCCACATAAGGGAACCATGGGCCACATAAAGGAACCACAAACGGGAATGAACGGTTACAGGTGTAGACAGAAGACAAACAGGAGGGGACAATTAAACCCAGCAGAGAAAGTGAATTAGACAGGTGACAGAAGGATGTGACCACAGAGAGAGACAGGCGGTTGTATTAGACTAACAGGAGACAGCAGAAAGACAGTAGGAAATATTTAATAACAGCAAACAGGCAGGAGAAGACAGTTGCTGACAGACTAAGAGACCAGAGAGAGACGGGACGAGACACCAAAAAGAGACAGGAGAGAGAGCAGGCGGGGACAGGAGACATATATAGACAGACAGGAAGATAAAGCAGACACACGAAAAGACAGCAAACGGAGACAGAGGAAGACAAGAGACATAGACATGAATGAAATAAGACAGAAAGCAAAATTAGATAGAATAGGACACAGTTGAGAAATAGACGGGAGATAAATAGACAGACAGACAGACAACAGGGGGCAGTAACTGACATCCATACCAACCCCTGATAAAAGACAGATTCTAGTAGATAGCCGAAGTGCACAGATAACAAGATAGAGGAGGTGGGCCAGGTTATCTAAAGCCGTTATCTTAAATAGACCTTATCTTATGAGTTATTTTTGTAAGGGGGAGGGTGGGGGATGGTGAGGCCTAAACGTAGCTTAACTGTGTATTAGCTGTTGTTGTTTGGTAATATGGTTGTTAATAGTTGTTGCTGTTAGTAAGGGTTTGTTGTGTACGACCTCTATTGCTGTCAGTGGGGCTTAGTAGCTGTTGTTGTTTTGGTGGTGTTAGCTGTTAGTGGCTGTTCCTGTCGGTAAGAATTGGTTTTTTTTATTACAAAGGTTAAGCGGAAATGTTATCGAGATTCAACAGCCTTAATAGTAACCATTATACAAGAGCCATGTGCCGGAGTTTCTGAGGGCAGTAGACCACAACTTGCAATTTTAGTGAGATACATGACAATAAATTCTTAAATGTTATAACGTATCCACAATTTGTTCCACGTATCCACCATTTTTATCAGTGTTTTATTAATTTTAGTCTTCTTGCAGTTGTCCTAGAACCGCTAAAAAGGACTTCATAGCTGGATATTATGACAGCTAAACATGTACAGAATCCATGAAGAAAACATAATATATTGGGGCATTTAGACCTCCGTGATCTGTACGATATTCCAGGAAATGAGTGGCTCTATGACGCCGACAAACAACTGTCGATTTCGTACAGCTGTGTATAGCTCCTAGGCCAGTTGTACTATACAAGGCCTGCCATCATATCTCTCGTCGTCAACTCGCCAGTGTTTGTGATGATAAACTCTGGTTTGTTCCCTGAGCGCACACCATGGCTTCCTTCATGTCTCTCCCAGACGGTTCACTGCAGTACCATCTGTGGTAAAGAATTGTACAAAATGAAGGAAAGTCACAAGCCGACCCCAACCTAACTTTGTTTAGGCTATTTAAGAGATAAGTTCATATCGTTCTCCCCAGTTTTTTCCCAAAGGATTCAGAGATTAGAGTCCTTAAAGGAGTCCAGTCAGGACTTTGGGTATTACACAATGTGGATACACGTACATTAAGAATCGCTGTCAGATCAAACGGCTGGCACGTTGAAAGCTAAAAAAATATCATACTAAAATACTCTCGTGAAAGACCTGTACTGCTTTATACAGTCGTCGTGCATCAGACTTCAATATAATGCAGCTTATCGCATAAGTTCCAGGTCCTTGAAGTCAGTTGTAATGCCTCGTGTGTTAGTTTAAGCATATGTTAACTTAGGCAGGTTAAGTTAGATTATATTCGGCTAATTTATGTTACTTTCGGTGTGTCAAGTTAAACTAGGTAACTTGGTTGGTTAACCTGGACTATATTACAAAATACTAAGTTGGATTAGGCTAAGTTTAATTAAGTTTTGTTCCACTTACTGTGATAGTCGTCTCCGCTCGCTGGACCCAGAGAGGAAACACCTGCCACTATACAGGAGGCGACAGAAAACGTCCTTGTAAGAAGACTGTATCATCACCTGACTGCCCCGAGTGGGAAGACCAGGTGTTGATGTCTCACTCTACGTGTCTCAGCGCCTATATGAAGACAAACAAGAAATAACTCGATACAGTACTTGTTACATTCTGTTGGTGACACACACACACACACACATACACCAGCAGTATCAGTTCACATCTGAAATATTTGTACCATTTCACACAGAATTGGTTCTAAAAAAAAATAAATAATGGTTCAGGAATATACAGTATCGTGCACTTTGATACATTTTTCACCAAAGATTCAAAACTGATACAAACTGTAGACAAATGAACCATAGACAATAACTCAACAAAGGTGGGGTGATTTAGTACGATACTCCCCAACGGACGAAAATAGATATGTAAACAATAGCGATGCGCATTAGAAATATTTTGTTTTATTTAATAATTAAGTAACCTATTAATGCAAGGTCATCCCATTGCTTCTTGTAGTTAGCTGTTTAACTTATCTTCCTCTACCGTATTATATTTTTTTCTTAACTACTATATTATGTCCCGGAGGAGAGAGGTTATTACTATGTCAAAGGTGATGGTTGTTGTTGAGACAGTTACCTTTGACAGGAAGAGACTGTTGAGGAGAGGAGATAATTAAGGAGAGACAGTCAGGTGAGGAGGAGAGACAGTCAGGTGAGGAGGAGAATCACTTGGGTTCTTGCTTTATGTCACTACCGAGAAATTGGTTGCGTGAGAACATATATCACTGACGTAATTGTGGGACCAGTTTAGGGATTCAAAGTTGGCATGATAATATTTCTGCATCACGTGTGTGTGTGTGTGTGTGTGTGTGTGTGTACAAAATTTCACATGGGTTAAGAAAATATACATAAAGTAGAGTGGTAGTTGGGTGACTCCTTCCTCTTCCCTGTTGACCCGTAATGTTGAGTTTTACTGCAGGTATTTATCTCCCTCCGAGTCTTCATTACCCGGCAGGTGTTCTAGTGGTCCTCTTCTTTACCCCGGTCAGTGCGGTAGGGTTTAAAGCCAAGGCACGTACTTATTGCTCTTGTACAGTACATCTAAAACGTGAACTGCGCCTCCTCCACCGTAGTGCCCACCTGTTGAACCCAGGGGAAGTTGTCAGAGCGTGTAGAATTGGCGAGTTTACTCGAGACTATTACTACTACTTTGGCTCAAGAGGCGAACGAAAGGAGTCTTTGCATGCCAGCACTAACATACTAATGGTTATTGACACGTGGCGTCTATTCCCACCCGCAATGATTCTGTTCAGTTTTGTCTAAAAAATTTGTGCCATATGTCTATTCCTCTTCAAAATCTCAGCCACAAGCAAGTTTTGGTCATTAACATTGTTATGAGTCAAACAACCAGCGCTGCTAATTACAACTGCCTGCTACACTAACACACTAGTGACTGAAAGTTGAGTGATTACCAACTTCTAGGCGAGCGGAAATCCACTAGTCCGCTAGTTACTCACAGCTAGTGGAGCGCTCCCGTTAACATGACATGAGTAAGACGCTAGTAGCTATCACGTCAGCACTTTTGCCGAGTACCATGCCTCCGCGGCTTTACCAAAGGCATACAGAGGATGACAAGACTTATCCCGGGCATTAGGAACCTTGAGTACAGAGACAGGTTAAAACATTCAATTAATTTTCAATATTTATTCCTTGATAGAGGAAGAGGGATCCTAGTGCTGTCACTAGGTACCCCTGTACAATAACACCAGAAGCATCTGGCAAGTGTCACAAGTATATACAGTATAATTATTATAAAAGGGCTTACTAAAGCCTAAGGAAGGAAGGATATTCCTTTAACACACAATCAATATTATTTACATAATATCTGGGGTTAAAGCATCTTAATTTGCACTCCCTCGAGAGAAGTAGAGTGAGGGGCGATATGATCGAGGTGTATATATGGAAGTCTGGGCTAAACAAATATGAAATAACAAAGGTACTCAAACTATCCAACCAGGAGTGAACTCATAGCAATGGTTTTAAATTAGACAAATGTAGATTTAGGCGCGAGATAGGCAAACATTGGTTTGGAAATAGAGTAGTGGATGAGTGGAACAAGTTACCAAACATCATCATTAACTCGAATACGCTGGATAGCTTCAAATATAGGTTGGATGGATATATGAGTGATAGGGGTTGGGTGTAAACGGGACTGCCTAGTATGGGCCGCTGCAGTTTCCTTCGTTCTTATGTTGTTACTGTATGTTGAAATACACCTGTAAGGGCCCCCTTTATGGAAGTGCCCACAGGAGTTCACCTTCACATTCATCTTGGCCACCTTAGCCAAGATAATGAGTGAAAGTGCGTGAGACAGATGAAACTCCACCTTGTGAGAGAGATTGTTAACTGCGCAGTTGTTGTCAATATCGATCTGTGGTAATGTCGGCCGCACCACCGCCCCACAGGTCATCAGTACAAAATAACAGACTCCTCGCTCACCCCAGCTGTTCCCCCTCGTGTTCCTGGTGGTTAAGGATTACCCAACTACATATTGCACATGGTGACCGGCCATGGAGACAGACAGTCACATATGCAGCTTCACAAGTATGTCAACATCACCCAGATAACGACAACTTAGAGTTATATCTATTTGGGAGGGACCTGGCCATATCAAGTCTCTGACGTACAGGAAACGATTGTGTATAATGATGACCAAAGAAGGTTCTAGAGAAAGGATGTAGTGAAGGCCACAGGTTATTTCGTAACAAGGCAACAGCAGAACATAACAGCTACAGGACTCAGAGTTTTGATCGAACCTAACTTAACCTAACCCTTCCACATAGCATTAAAAGGGTTAATCTACAGGTGAAATAACTTAGGATCGAATATTCAGGTGATTCTGTTTCTGCCTCATACGTCATGTGTCTCCTCCACACATGCGCAGTAGAATCGTGAGTCACAGAGATGGACCACAAGAACTATCTCTCCAATCACATGAATCAAACACCGACAATCAGACTGTTTTACCGCATTATCGTTGTTATCGGCTCTAATCGCCTGTACCTGCATGCAACACACTTGTGATTAATTGGAAATGATGTTGTTTCACTTGTCTCTTCTTTCACCTCATGATTAACCACCCCAGCTTATTTCACTTCAAGATTAACTACCCCAGCTTATTTCATTTCAAGATTCACCACACCAGCTTATTTCACTTTAAGTTTAATACCCCTATCGTTAACCTAACCTAACCTAACCTTACTCAGGTTGAAACAGCTTATTACGTGTATGTGTGTGTGTGTGTGTGTGTGTAATAATAATAATAATAATTAACGGTTTATTGAAAAAGTTCTGCAGCCCGAAGGCTGAAAATATACATTGGTCATAAATGACTTATTACATACATTGGTGGTTTAACAAAAGTCTTCATTAGAGAAAGGTAAAGGAACATACAGTGAACATACAGATTAATGTAGGTGTAGTAACTTCCTCCCAGATGGTGTTAGGAGGGACCTCACGTGGTGTAGTAGTTCCCTCACAGATGGTGTTATGAGGGACCTCACGTGGTGTAGTAATTCCCTCACAGATGGTGTTATGAGGGACCTCACGTGATGTAGTAACTCCCTCCCAGATGGTGTTATGAGGGACCTCACGTGGTGTAGTTATTCCTTCACAGATGGTGTTATGAGGGGCCTCACGTGGTGTAGTAACTCCCTCACAGATGTGTTTTGAGGGGCATCGCGTAGTGTACGAATTCCCTCACAGATGGTGTTGAGGGACCTCACGTGGTGTAGTAATTCCCTCACAGATGGTGTTATATGAGTGAGGTGTGGTCCCAGTCCTGCCTATCCTAGACGGATTAACACATCGCTGGTTGTTGTTGGGTCTCACGGGCCGTTATCACTGGGTACCTGGGACCTCACTGTGTGAAGGTTACCTTGGGTACGACTCATAAGAACATAAGAACATAAGAAAGTGGGATACTGCAGGAGGCCGACTGGCCCATACAGGGCAGATCCCTTTCACACCCATCCCAGCACTTCCATGTGCCTATCCAACTTCGTCTTGAAGCTCCCTAGCGTCCCCGATCCTACTATAGCACTCGGTAGCCTATTCCACATATCCACAACTCTATTACCAAACCAGTGCTTGCCTATATCCTTTCTGAATCGGAATTTATCTAATTTAAAGCCATTTGTTCTAGTTATTTCGTTATTACTGAGCTTCAGAACATCTTCCATTTTATCCTTGTTAATCCCACTTACCCACTTGAACACCTCTATCATATCTCCCCTAACTCTACGCCTCTCTAATGAATGCAAGCCTAAGCTTTTCAGTCTGTTACTGCTGAGTTGTTCTCACTGAATTAAGCACTGTTCACCATTGTTCACCTCTGTTCAACACTGGTTCCATTCCTTTTCTAAATGAAATTGTAACTTCTGGTGAGAACTTGTTGATATTCCGGTGGGGAGGAGGGTTCAGGGGAGGGAGTTGGTATGGGCCAACTTAACAGTTGACCTGGCTGCTCCCAGAGGAGCGCCAGGTACGTCTTGACCCATCAGTGGTCAAGGATGTAGTGTGTGTGTGTGTATGTGTGTTTTTTTTTTGAGGGAGTAAAATAGGTGATAATTGAGGAATGTGGTTAATAATTGACGATAACTAAGAAAATTGGCGATAAATTGTGACAGGAATTGATGCCATCTGCCTTCCCTCTCTCACTCCCTCGTTCCTTCCTTCCTTCCTTCCTTCCCTCTTTCACTATCTAGTCCTGACTCCCTCTCACCCTTCTCCTTCTCTCTCACTCCCTCCCTTCTCTCTCTCTCCTCCTTTCACCCCTCTCCCTCTCACCCCGCTCTCTCCCTCTCACCCCTCTCTCTCCCTCTCACCCCTCTCTCTCCCTCTCACCCCGCTCTCTCCCTCTCACCCCTCTCTTCCTCCCCCTCAGAGAAAACTACACATGATAACAGCCGCTATACCCCGACAGAGATTACACTAATGGCCAGATTGCGGATTTTAAGGAGATTTTAAAAGGTAATCATCTGCGTACATCCCAGCTTGTTTCACTCGATGATTAAACACTATAACGCTAACCTAATCCAATCTAATCTAACCTAACCTAATCTAACCTAACCTATCCTCCGCACCTCACCTTTCTCACACACCTGGTGAGTTCCCTCCTCCCCTATCCTATCACAACCTCACCTTGTCCCGGCTGTCACCCACTCCCCCCACCCGCCCAAGACCTACAAGTACAATTCCCACCCCTCTTCTCCTCAGGGAAGGGTTGTGGGTAAATTAGTGATTGTAACAAGTTCCAAGAATTGCGTCTCTGAGTGAGTTAAGATAGTGTGTCAGCTGGTGTTGTTGTTGGTGGGGGGGGGGGGCAGCCACAGTGGTAAATGGATAATTATGAATGTGTGAATGACTGAAAGGACCAGACAAATTTAATAGTTCAGTTCCCGTTGGTTAGGTTAGGTTAGGTTAGGTTAGTTTATGTTAGGTTAATTTAGGTTAGGTTAGTAATGATACTGAAAATTTCTAATTAATATTGATTATTAACATGTTCCTCCATTTTACAGTATACAGGTATATATAATTTTCTCTCAACAAAATTCTTCCTGAAGTTATCGTCCTTCTGTCGTTATCTGTTATGATCTAAGATAATTCATTCATATTAATAGGAAATAAATCGAGTTATTTTTTCCCCAAGAAGAAACATTAATTTCCTTTAGCTAGTTAAGCACCATCCGTCTGAACGTGGACAACTTAACCTGACCCTGGTGAGTAAGATCAAGTTTAGTTTGGTTGAGCTGAACATTTTTAAACTTTATTTAGATTATAAAATCCTTTCAGCAACAACTACTAAATAATTCTTACGTGATTCATTAACTATTGTGTACACTATAAGCAGAGCTGTGTGGTGAAAGTTGTGTGAGTAACTGAACAAGATCTTCCCGAGCTGGTGTCCTGATCTTCCCGCTCTGGTGTCTCCTGGGCGTTGGGGTAAAAAGTTTCAAGAAAATAAACAGTTATGCATTGGATATATGAATCATTAGCAGTAAAAGGGGGGGTATACTAAAGGTGATTACACTGCCCGTCTCCTGTCTCTAGGGGTCGCTGGATTATACCCGTCCATCACTAGTCCACACAGCTGTGAATTGGGTACCTAATGTGTAGGGGCCTTAGAGTGCATCAGTACCGATCATACTGCCTTCGTGTGTCCCGACAGAAAGACTACAGTGCCCATTTACACTTCCAGATATAAAGTGTTTCCAAGACCTTCGGATTTACGTTCACCAAATCCAACGACATGGTGAAATTTACGTTAAGGTGCAGCTGTTGTATGTTGTATCGACAGCTGCATATCATCCCCCTCATCCATCTGTGCTCGACTTCCTCTGAACTGATGGATCGATTCGTATCAATCTGATGTGAAATTTTTCCCACTAGGAGTTTTGGTAAAATGTCTTGGAAGTGATCTACCTGAGAACCAATTAATTTTCTTACACTAATATAACTATGTTCGGCATTTGATCCAGGAAAAAATTAACCATTTCAAAGACCAATCATTAGACCTCCCCTGAACAAACCTTCAATTACCACATACAACAGGTAGAAATACATCATTAAACACACCTGAGACTCGTTAAATAATTAATCCTCCAACTGGTGAGGTGACAACGAAAAACTTTAAGGCACTGGAACCTCCACTTCTACAATACCATTTAATTAGTTCGTCCTTGACAATCTTATGTAGGTTCTGTGGTCTTCTCTTCCTGCCCCCGCCCCCCCTCCTCCCTTACCTCCAGGTTAGGGAGAGTGAGATAAGTGTTATCATGGCTATATGAACAGTGGCCCAGTAGGTGCGTGTCAGTGTGTTAGAGGAAGTTAAGAGCACCACTCACTGTCTCTACTAACTGTATTACCATTATTTTTTTCATCCACAGTAGACGGAAACGAGGTAAGAAGAGACTCCATATGTGATCTCACCGTCTGTGTGTGTGTGTGTGTGTGTGTGTGTGTGTGTGTGTGTGTGTGTGTGTGTGTGTGTGTGTGTGCGTGTGTGTGTGTGTGAAATGAGTCGTAGTTGTCATCTATAAGTTCATCTGGCACTGAGATGATGAGTGAGGACTGATATATTGCTTGTGTTCCTAACGCTACGGGTGATGCACAGAAGACTCTATAGGGATCACCTGAAGATTAGACACCCTGGCTTATTTTACCTAAAGATTAAGGGAAAAATAATCTGACTATAAGAACCATATAAAAACGACTATAGAAAAATTACAATATAGTAACAGCTACATAGGAACAACAATATATTATTTAGTAACAACTGTATAAGAACACTAAGACCATCATATGAAGAACAGCTATAGTTTACTTACCTGGTATGCTAAATTTACGTTCCTCTCATCTTGTCTATATATTTTTTTTACATCTGTGTAAATTCTGTGTAAACCCCCCCCCCCCCTCTCCTCCCCATAATAATTGCTATTATTTGTTCTTGTAATTTACAGGGTTATGCCAGGCAGTTGTTCATTATCTAATTTACAACTTTATTTCAGAGTCATGTGATGTTGTAAACTCGTAAATATATAACTTCGCATATTAGTGCATATTTGTTCTTTGTATTTTAACTCTATGGAAAAATTAATTCACTGTTTATGTATTCACACCAAAACAAAATATCTTTACGATTTTCTGTGAGATAATAACGACCCTGACATCGGCGAAAACCCAAGGGAGGGGGGGTGGTGGGGGGGGGGGTCGAAACTTTTGATTGTGACTGTACATTTTTCAATACCTGTACTGTCCGTGTCTAATGTTTGTATATCGATGGAAAAGTTAATGTATAGGATGGGTTCTGTTAGGTTGGTATTCGTATTGTTTATATACCAGACGTATTTAGAATGTATACCAGTACTTACATTGTTTGTACTTTACTTACTGAATCAATGTGAATTTGTGTAGCTATTTCACTGAATAGCTATCTATCTATCTATCTATCTATCCTGCAGAAGAATGCGCCGGCTGTGGGTCTGGATGTGGCTGGCCTGCCTAGTCACAATCAACAAGGTTTATTCAGAAGGTAAAGTTCCTATCACACTGTTTATTTTTCATCTCACTACAGTCTGTGTGTCATTACCCCCCCACCCCATTTTAAGCCCCAGAAAAAGGGAGTCTATGTTGACCTTGTCCTCATGAGCTGGTCTCCACTAATCCAACTTAATAACCAAACCTAACCTAACCTAACCTAACCTAACCTAACCTAACCTAACCTAACCTAACCTAACCTAACCTAACCGAACCTAACCTAACCTAACCCAATGTATCTCTCTTGGTCTTGAACTGTTGATGAGTAGTATATAATTTCACTAGTCTAGCATAGATTCTTAAGGACCTTAGTTGTTGAAGCGCAGTGATAAACTATGACATCAATGTTAACAATGGCTGTGTAAACAAATGGTGCCACACAAAAGTCGTCTTTACGGACTCGGTAGATTTCAATTCACTAAAATTCTTCTGCATTTTTTTTTTATTGTAGAATAAGGATATTAT